ACACGCATATATTTGTCCAATGTATATGATTGATCTTCAAACTGCATATAATGTGATGGCAGATTCTTGGAGAGCTTCATGGGCCCTGACGTGGACTATACACAAGCCATAACAGCATTTTGGCTAATCGAAACAGTTTATCAAGACAGCTTTGCTCACTGCTTGGAGGAAGGCTCTAAAACTCCCGAAGAACTAAAAGAAACTTGCCAGAGATGGGGAAATGACGGTTTTGGTCAGTATTGCCGTGCCCTTAAAAGCATAGCAGACCGTCGACTGGCAAAGGCTTCTGATGACGTGGCAGCCAAAGCCGAGTTAAACTTGATAAGGATACTCGAACACGAAGTTGAATTTTGGAACATGAGTCGAAGGGCAGTTTAAAAATTTCTGAGATATTTTATGTAATGCATGTTATAAAGTTGATAGATCTTGTGTGTTTGTGTGATTGATCCACACTTATTAGCTTTTGTTGCCATAGGAAATCAGCCTGCATCTTTTGTTTTTAAAGCAGTGTAGCAGTTTCTGTAAAGTGTAGTTACTTTTGAGTTATGTATATGATAATCCTACTCTTATTGTAATTTTACCAAATCTCTGTGATAGTTTTCGTAAATTTTCTCTAAAATCTACATAGCAATGCTATTGCGTAGAGTTACTATTCGAACAGAGTTGTTCATGAACAAAATCTACATGCAATGCTATTGCGTAGAGTTATTATTTGAACAGAATTGTTCATGAATACAATGTTGGGACTCGTGAAAGTTGATAGTTCACTTAACGATCTGAGCTCGAACAACTAAACCTCAACTAATCTTCAAAAATTGCTGATACATCCCCAACATGTTCACAATAGCACTCTCCCATCCCAAAACTTCCATTTATTCCACAAATTCCCACGATTCGAACAAAGTTGGTAGTTTACACAATGATCCGAGATCAAATAACTAAACCTCAACTAATCTTTCAAAAATTGCTAATACATCCCCAACATATTCACAATAACACTCTCCCATCCCAAAAACTTCCATTTATTCCACAAATGCCCACGATTCGAACAAAGTTGGTAGTTTACACAATGATCCGAGATCAAATAACTAAACCTCAACTAATCTTTCAAAAATTGCTAATACATCCCCAACATATTCACAATAACACTCTCCCANCTTCGCCAAACAACCCTTTACCCAAAACCCAATCCTCGATCATAACCCGCGAATTAATAGGCTGATCAGTCGGGACAAGATGGCCAGCATTCATCACCACAGCATGACTCAAATTCTTCCATCTCTGCACATAACCAGCTAACTTCCCATCAACCCTCCAAACCTTCCTATCCGCCTCGAGAAACTCATGAATCCCATCCCACTTCATTTTTTTCACCCAAGCCAAAGTCGAGACCACACCATCTCTTAAGTCACATTGCCCTTGATACAACAAAACCCTCGTGTTCTTCACAAGGAACTCCATCATATACTTCACGCTCTTCATCACGTCCTCTTTCAAAGCCTTGTCCACTAAATCGCTGCATAACTCAAACACTAAGGACTCATTCACTCCCAACGCCTTTTTGATTTCGACATTGTTTAAAAACTTAGCCACCACATCATCTTGGTAAGGTATCAGCCTCCTGAAATCATATAAAGTTGCCAAGCCAGTCATATTCTGCAGTGTCTTCAAAACCCGGCTTCTTGAATCCGTGGCCTCCCCCCATTTTTCGTTTTTCACGAGCCCAATTGTCTCGAATTGGATTCTCTCCAAAAGGGCCTTCTGCTTATCGTTTATCAGGCCCAAATTGTAGGCATTTTCGGCGTGAGTTGCGACTTGGGTTTCAGGGTCGGTCAATCCATTCCCAATGGCCAAACCAGCTAATGTCACCCTTTCTTCAGGCGGCAAGGATGGATTTGTCTTCAGAATGAAGTATCCGAGTCCCGGGACATATTTTCCGGCGTAGCTTTCGCCGGTTATGTATAAAGGTCGAGTCTTGAATGATGAATCTAAGGAGATGAACTTTTTGATTGCTGTGAAGAGATGTTGGGCCACGTCAAGCTGGTTTCTGGGTATTTCTTGAAATGAAGGGGCTATGCTAAATCCGGAGCCGATTGGGTTATCGAGAAAGAGCAAGCCGAATTTTGTGTTCCAAGAACCTGGATTGGGGTCGAGGGTGAGGGTTTCTGAGTTAATCAGCCACGGGCCGAGCTCGTAGAAGTTGGCCAGCATGGATGAGCAGCCCGGCCCGCCTTGCAGCCAGATGAGGATTGGGGTTTTAGGGTTGTGAGGATTTTGTGCTTCGTAGTAAGTGTAGAAAATGGCGGAGCCGGTGGCGGGGTCGACTGTTAAGTAGCCGGATTTGGTGGGGAGGGCTTCTTTGGGGAAGTGTGTGGCGGATCCGGCGGCGGGGTGGCGGAGGACGGCGGCGATGAGGAGGAGGTTGAGAAGGAGTGGTGGTGGTGGCAGTAGAGGTGATTTCTTCATTTTTTTTAGTGTGATTTTTTTTTGCTGTTTTGGGTTTGTGTGGTGTTGTGGAGTGATCAGTGAGTGGAGAATTCTATTTTGGGAACTTTACATAAAAGCTGGCGTTTTCCATATTTTCCGTCTCTTTTCCTTGACTTTTTAATTATTGATATCTGAAAAAGAAAAAATTATAATTATAAAAATGCTCACCCCAAGGTATTGTATTGTGTGTTATGCTAATTTCCTACCTTAATATTTAGTGGACATATTAATGTATGTTGATCTTTCTCTCACAACATTTGGTGTATATATTAATGTGATGGTGATGCCGACGAGATTGCATTAACATATCTCGACAAATATGATCAACTCGTCTTATTAATTTGAATATTATTCTATTTCTTATTATTATTATTTATATTTATGTTTTATTGGGCTTGTTGTGTTTGAGCTTTTAAATCTATGTGGTTAGGACTTTGTATTAATTATTAAAACGTATTTGTGGCTTTAGGATCTAGCAGTTGAATATCGATTGAAAAGAAAATAACTATTCTTCGTTTTCTCTTTACTTTCTTCCCATCATATGATTCCATGTGCATCAGATGGAAAAAGCGGGATTGTATAGTATGATCCTTCTTATTTAGACACCAAAATTTCTCCTTGTTCAAGTGTATCCATAGAATACAATTTCACAAATTTTTGTGTGAATTGCCCCAACCATTAGAGGCCGATCTCACATAATTTTTAACCAAGATTTATGCTATATGATTAAATGTTATGTTTTTATTTGTGTTACTTTTTATAGTATGAAATTTGAATTTAAAGTATATGCAATTGTTGAAAAATAATGTCAGTGTTGGCGTTAGCCTGACACCATACTTCAATGAGTTGCTAACTAAACCATAATTTATTCACCATGCTGTACAAAAGTACAAGCATATATTATATCATCCATGACAGACTAACTAAATCATAGTTCTGTAAACCAGCATACTATATTATATCAAATATGACAGACCAACTAAACCAAAGTTTATTATTCTTGACAAACCATCTAAACCTTTAGCAGATGATTGAATTGTGATTTTAAGTGATTAAAAAGGGTCTCAACTTCTTTTACCCCACAGAAAGACAACTTCACATTCTAAGTAGATATAAGCACTTGAGCATCAAACTGATTTCTGCCGAAAACATTCGATAACACGATAAACAAAAGTGCTTCATGCGTCTCATATCGGCATTAATGCTCGACAATATCCAAATAGAAATACCCAGGAAGGGAAATTAAGAAGTCAATTAGTTTTCTTGTTGATGAGCTCACTTAAGTCTACAAATTTGTTTCGAACAACTGCAGTTTTTGTTTAATCTCTCCAGCGATGCCCACAATTCGGGTTGCAGCACACGAAAAACAGAGTCATTCCTTCTTCTCCTCTAGCCGTAGCCTGCACAAATAATCCAAACACCAATTGTTCATAAAATTCAAACACGAAATGATATGTAAAAGTGCCCAACTGTTGAAATCTTTGATCAGGTCGGACAAAAATGAAAAATNGTATTTATCAACATACCCAAGTGAGTTAGTGTCAAAAAACAAGAGAAAGAAAAGAACAGAACTGAAAAAGATCGAAGGATCAAACTTGTCACTTCGTGTTCAAATTCATGAAAAATAAAACAAAGATAATACCAAACTCCCAAAACATTGAACACAATCACCCCCATAGCCAAGAAGCTTTACCGTCATAAGAACAATATAAAGCAATATAGGAAGAATTACGGTCCCGTAAGTTGCATAATTTACCAAATCATAAATATAACAAATACCTGAAAGAAAACAGCTTCCCCATGGCCACAATTCGCACATTGAACAGACTTTGTACGTGGCAGAGTGGGATCAGCAGCTACATCCTGCAAGACTTGTGTTCGCTCCCCAACCGAATGGTGTATTTCATTTCTGTACACACAGTTGTTATCAGCAACCTCCTGCAAGTTGACCGACCCACAAAAGTCAGCAACTCATCATTTGGGAAAAAAAGCCGTTCAGTTACGACACACAGATCGATGATCGATCGATATAGCCATTAGAGATGCTGCAGTTGAACGAGAAGCAGTTAATAATTTCGCAGTTTGTGAATTAGAAAAGACAAATTGAACCTCCTGAGAGATAGCGAAGGGCATTATCTGTAGTCTGCTAGGGAATCATTGACTCATTCAAGAGAATCTATATGCGGCAGTAGAAATATCCTACAAACTGACAAAGATAACATCCCTAATTAACTAAAGAATGGTTGAAAACTTTAACAGTCTAAGAGAAAAATAAGCCTATCTATTAAAGTTAATTTCAGCCATTTTATTAAAAATTTACTCGTCAAACTTCTAAGCATCATAGTCAAGCGGCATGTTCTAGCCATCAAAAATGAAGACACAAATTTAACATCTCCAGAGATATATGCATGCTATTTTTATTTTTATCTTTTGTTAATTTCAGAAGTAGCAAATGAGCAATCCATGTAAGTATCGCATCAAACAAATAAAATCACATTAAAGATGATGAGCACATAATACGACATGCTTCGACACCTAGCATCTCTAGAATACAGTCAATCAATCAAATAGCTAAATGCACAATTGTACAATGCAAACTCGACGAAGTGTTACAAACACACAAGTTCAATGTCTAACGTCTCCCAATTTAGAAGACAAACACCACACGATTAACACCACACATTTAGAAGGCAATTTAGAAGGCAAACACCACACATCAGCCCTAATAACCCCCTCAACTGTCAGAGTTGAAATGAGGAATTTTTCCTTAAGGAAAAGCAGCCGATTTTTTGCAGTCACCAATTTAGAAGGCAAACACCACACATTTAACACAACAATAACAATTTGAATATTAATATGACTAAACCCTAGACACTGAATTCTTCACCATAGAGAGAAAAAATGAGGAAAATCACCCAAAATAAACCGGAAAAAAAAAACACGCACACACACACACATTCCCCATATTAATGATAATTCAATTATTTGAAAAGCAATATGCCTAAACCCTTAAATCCTAGACACTGATTCTACACTGTAGAGACAACAAATATGGGGAAAAATCACCCAAAGTTTAAAAAAAAACAAAAACAAAACAGAAACACAAGCACATACACACGCACGCACACACACACCCCACATCAACTAATCTCAATCTCTCTCTTTGCCACTTAAAAGGTAAAATTAAAGGGAAACCCACTAACCTGATGATCGCAATTGCGGCAGGCATACAGCAGAATCTTCCTCTCTTTGTCTTCCTTCGGATATAAAATATTATTGCTGTTGAAAAACACAATTAATGTAGCAGGATAGCAGCTCAGTAATCCGAATTTTCAGAGCAAACGCATAAATAAACAGTGAAATTATCAGCAACTATTTGAAGATCGAGCTTAATTTACAAACAAAAAATTACAGCACAACAAAAAAAACAGAGGGAAATGCACGAACCATTCACGGCAAAACTTCATGGTACTCATGGCTGTAAATCGGCAGGTTTTGTATCCTTTTTTTCTTTTTTTTCTTTTTATTCGCCTTTTGCAGTTCGATTTGTCTTAAATCTTGATACTTGTTAAATGTTGAGTTGGGGGGAGTTTGGACCTGTTTATATGGGCCGATTGGAATAAAATAATAAATTTTTTTTTTTAGTTTTTCAATTATAATTAAAAAATATTCTATCTATGACATACATATAATAAATCGAAATGTTAATTTATAAAATGGAGTATATATACTTCAATGGATAATAAATAAAATAAAATAAACTATTAAATTTAAAAACACATTTAATTTAGACTGGTCAGTTATTTTATAATGTTAAGAGTTCTCAAAAGTTCAAATAAACGTAAAATCCACATTGAAGCTCTAAAGCACTAAAATTTGACACCCAATATTATCAAACACCAAAAATTGAATTAATATATAGAATTACTAAACACCATAAATTTACAACTCTTTCTATTGCAAATTTTGAATTATTATATTATATTTTCAACTTCTCATATATATAAAAGAAATAGAAATAGAAATTATGTTGATAATCTATTGCGTGTTTAGTCGATGACTAACGGTTGTAAATAACTATTTGATTTGTATAATAGTGGTTTTTTAACATTCGATAACTATTATATTTTAGTTCACTAGCTATTTGTAAATAACAGTTTGGATTGTAAATAGTGCTTTTAGCAGTTCACTAGCTATTTTAGTTCACTAGCTATTATTAAAAATATATTATTTTATTTTTATATATTATTAAAAAAACATTTATATATAATTTATTAAAAGTATATTATTTTTAAAAAAAAGCTTTTATTTATTTTTATAATAAAAAATGATAATGTCATTCCATTCCAGTCATATTCCTTCTGCATACCAAACGCATCAATGACAAAACATGTTTCATTCCATTCCCATAATCATTTCATTCTTCAATTCATTCCACTCCTACAAAATTTCATTCCATCATACCAATCTTGCCATTATTATAGTTGACTAGCCGTTGGTAAATAACTATTTGGTATGTAAGTAGTGGTTTCTTAGCAGTTGATATTAGCTAATAGTGGTTTTTTAGCAGCCTAAGTGGGCGATTGTATACAAATTGTACAGTAAAAAAATCAATCAAAACTCTAATTTAACTCAATTTTAACTCAACTTCACTATCTTCAATATTATCAATATAATTAAATAATATCAACTGATCATTCTTACATGTCACATCAACTTTAATTCATTATTCATCTACTCACATAATTTTAACTATCACTTCTAATCATTTTTTCTCACTCTTATGTCAAATCAACTTTAATTATTTTATTTTAAATATTATTTAATATATCCACTAACAACTAGCATATCACATTTTTTCAAACTTAACTATTGTTAAAAAATAACCACTTTTTTACTAATTGTATTCATATCCAATCACCCCCTAACGTATTGTGGTTAGTTGTTTAACAGTAAGTAAATAATAGTTTGATTTGTATATAGTGGTTTCTTAGCTGTTGATTATATTAGTCGATAAATAAAAACATATTATAGTTGGTTTGACTAGTTGTTTGTAAATAACTTTTTCGTGTATTATAGTTGGTTTGACTAGTTGTTTGTAAATAACTTTTTCGTAAATAGCGATTTGCATAACCATTTTGTAAAGAACAGTTTCTTCGAAGATTTAACGGATCAAACATCTAAATGGAATGAGGTTCAATCTGCTAATTTTACATTAATCTGCTAAATCTACTAAACTTACATCAATCCAATAACATTCAAACAATTGCATAATGTTACATCAATCCAATAACATCCAAACAATCGCATAATGTTTATCAATTAAGCGGGTCGACCCGTCATTCTTTTACACTGTGATTTGACCTCATGACTACGCCCTTTACAATTGAGTCTAAAGCCAATTCCCTGGATGCATGAACATCTAATGAAACCAGGAACTTTACTAAAATACCCAATTTAACTAGAAAAACTGGTCAAATGCAGTGGTGATAATGAGTAAAGTTCCAGGGAATTGAAAACCACCTAAAGCCTAGAAATTGTAATGTTACACTTACCACAAACAACTATATACCAAAATAAGATTGAAAACTAGTACAACAAGAACACTATTAAACCAATTGTCAACCCCAGGTATATTATTACAATAAAGGCTAACCTGATAGAGAGCCTAATTCAATGTCAAAAGTGACCTGACCGAATCTATCCTCAACATGACTTGGAGTAACCTACGAGCTTTGGTTACAACCGACAAGTGACCAATTTGACCTCATAAAACCACCATACATATGGAAACTGATATTCACTATAGATTCTTAACAATAGCAACTTCTCGTAATTCAAAGTTCACAGCAACATTGGCAAAAGCATTTGAGCAGCTTTCTCAAACTTCAAAGTTCACAGCCACAGACACTGAGTATTTTTTACCCAATCTACTATGTAAATATGGACAATCAAAATGATAGTTACTCTACGACAAACGAACTTAAGGAATAAGGCCGCTGACACCCCATAAACATCAACGTCTAAAGAAATCTCGATCATGGATTCAATATGGTGCGGAATAATAAGTTGATTACACTACTTTCGTAAATTATCCAACTATTCAGCAGACCAGAACCTAAAAACGGCATGCCTAATGTCACCAGAAGAGAAGATAACAGAAAACAGGAAAAAAAAGAAAAAACCCGTACTTGCTCTCAAAACAAGAGTTAAAAGTAATAAACACATCCTGCAGTGAAGGGAAAAACTGGAATGCTAAACAAGACACCAAAAAGGAATTCCAGAAAAACAAGTAAAAGGAACATATCCAACTGAGCAAAAAACAAGTTAAACACCTCTTATCAACTAAATCATCAGATTTTAACCAAACCATAGGAAAACACAATGATACTGCCAAAAAAAACATTAAAAAACCATAATCCCATAAAGCTCGTTTACTCCATATAGCTAGGTCTTGTCACACACTATAAAACCAAACAGATTCAAACTCAAACACACTAACGAAAGAGAAGCCAAAACAGGTTGTACTTGTAGCATCACAAGTCAAATCCACAAACCCCACCCTCAGTGCCTCTTGCCATGCCTCCTGCTCTTCCCCTTCCTTCTGCTCCTCCTTCCCTCAGATTCCGAATCTGACCCAGAATCCGAATCCGAAGACTCAGAAGACGAGCTATACCTCCTGTGCCTTCTCTTCCTCTGCTTCTTCTTCTTGCTCTTTCTCCTCCTCCTCTCCTCCTCCGAATCACTCGACGAGCTGTAGCTCGACTCACTCTCCCCAGATGACCCATCATCCGACCCTGAAACCGAAGATCCCTCACTGTCAGACTCGAAAACTGACGCCTCACTGTCAGACTCATTATCCGACTTATGCTTCCTCTTGCTCTTCTTTTCGATTTTCTTGCCCTTTTCCTCTGTCAAGGCATCTGGGTTGCTGTCCAGATCATACGATATGGAAACCTTCATCCTAAGCTTCGGATTCTTGAGCTGCTGAGTTCGAGAAGGCCTCGAGATGTAAACGCGCTCGTTTTTGCACTCGTAAGTCCAGTGGCCCGTCTGGAAGCATTTTTGGCATTGGGAGGCAGAGGATAAAGTCGAGGTTGAGCTCTTGAGATCCTTGCGTTCGCCCAGTCGAACTTGTTTTTCGGTGCTCATTAGGTACATTTGGCGCTTTGCTTCTTTCCTTTCTTGCCATCTGCTGGGGCCTTCTTCCTTCTGGCCATAGGCGTTCACGTTTCGGGCGGCGGCTGTGGCTGCCCGCTCAGCCTGAGCACGGCTGAGGCCTTTGGCGGCGGATAAGGCGGCAGCTTTGATCCTCTCAGCAGCCCCATCATCTTTGTTGTTCGACATTTGGTCGGATTTGGGAATCTAACCGGATACAGTAAGAAAAGATCTTTCAGTCATTTACCTAAATAGCAGANAAAAAAAAAGAATATCTCTGCAGGATCAAGGGAGTAACATGAATCTCTACAAACTCATGAAAAAAATGAAGGAATTACAACAGACCTTCAAATTGACGTTCAAAATAGAATTTTATAACCCTAAAATCGAAGAACAAATCCAGCAAAAGACACGGGGAATCACCGATATCCAAAATGAAAAATCAACTTTGTTCTTGAAAAATGCCAAAAGAACAAGATTAAGCCCGAGCGAAGATAACCCACGAAAATCGAGAACAAATCGAAACAGGTATGGCGAATGCTCAAGCGTACAACTCGCAAAACCCCATCTCAAGAGGCGTGTTGACCAGAAATACAAAGACGATCCCCAAACTGCGAAAATTACGACGGAAACGAAAATTGAAAGGGAAAATTGTACATACCTAATTCTCTGCTAGAGGAGAGGGTTGAGAGTTGAGATCTTGCAACTGGAAACATATGGCGAACGTGCCAGTCGAGAATATATAATGGAAACTTTCGACTATTACGCTTATGGCCCTGAAACTTGTAATTATATTGATTGGATTTTAGACTCTTTTTNCATGCCGATATATTAATCAGTGTTTTAAATACCGTACCGGTTATCATATCGGACGAACGCGGTTCAACCAGTACGACCGATATTACCGTCTATTTTACCGATTTCAATAAATATTAAATTAATTTGTTATTATAATATAAATGATGTACAAAACTAATTTTAACTAATAGTAAAATTAATTAACATCTAATAACAAAGTAAACATATTAAAATTAAGTGTAGGACTTTCAATTTATATAAATAAATTAATGAAAATATATTAATTTTTTTTTTTTAAAAAAAATAGCATAAAACGGTATTTTGACCGGTATTTTGGCCGGTAAAACCGGTATTTTCCGGTATGAAACCGGTATAAACCGGTATTTTAGCCAAAACGGTATTTTAAGTGTAACCGTACCGGTCGGACCACCGGTATCCGGTATTACCGATAATACCGGCCGGTACGGTACGGTATTTAAAACATGGATATTAATACTTAAAAACTCAACAATAGTACAAATTGAAGTGCCAACAGGCACAACTAGAACCAAAAAAACTGGATCAACTCCCCTTGGATCCGCACAGGTGACTAACGGGGTACAAACTTCATCAAGAAGACACACCCGCAAAACACAACTCCAAAGCGTAGACGATGACTCCATATAAGAGACTGAGATCCAGACAAAATTGGACAAAGCAAAACAAAACTCAACAAAAGGATAAAAAACAAAAAAACGGCGCACACCTAAAATAGACTAAGGCATCCCCTACACCGAGCAGACAGACCGCAAAAAACCAGCCAAACAGCACCCGGATCAAAGTACCCAACACAGAAAACCAACAGAGCTGTAAACCTAAACCCCAGATCCAAAAAATGCGGCCACCTCTATCCGCCTAGACATATCTGACGAGGAGTTAATTCTCGATTCAGATATGGGCTCCGAAGATCTCCGACATCGGGGGACGGGGGCCACCACGAAGGCTCCGACTAAGAATGCCGGAGGGCTCAGACGAAAAGACCAAGATGGAGATGAGGCTGGCCACAACCGAGCAAGAATATCCCCTTGGACGCGGAACTGGAGGACCGAGAGCATGGAGGCGCAAGGACACCGGGAGCTGTCTACCTTCAGAAAATGACAAAATTGAGTCTGGGTAGGCGCCCTATAACTGGTGCAAGGCAAGGAACTGAGAAGAAGAGCCACGACACAGGGAATGGCCGGAGAAGGGGCGGCGCAGCCGAAGCTGGCCCAAGCCCTCTCCTTCACCACGTCGCCGAACCGGGCCGATTTGTCCCTACCTCGACTCAGGCTGGACGGAGGGACGACGGACGAGAACTGCAGTTGCCGGCGGGCGGAGGAGTGGCGCTGCGATGGGCCAATATGGTTCTCTCTGTTTTTTTTGCGGAGGAGAGAGAGAAAAGTTTTATCTTTCGCTGGAAAAAGAAAGAGAACGATTTTAGACCATCTTCAATCCTCATATTATATATCTAATGTAGAGTTTCAATATAGAGGACGCTAATATTTAACTTTTTTCTTCGGTTGTTCGCGCTACATTTTACTCTACATGAAATATATTAGTAAGAAAAATAAATGCAAAAATAATATCAAAGTTTAGATTATTTAACAAAAAAAATAATTTTTTTAATATATATTTATCAAAATAATAAAAATCAATTAAAAAAAATAAATTTTTAAAAAAAAATGTACCGTGATGAAGAGTGTTGCACTACATATAGCGCGATAATGTTCAAATCTACAAAGTTTGCGAAAATGTAGCGAATTATACTAATTTACATATGTGCATGATAAATACTAGTTCTAAATTAATATATAGAAATGTCGTAAAAAGATTAAATAAACATATATATTGAAAGAGGTTGATGTTTAATTGAAAACTAGAAAAATTGACTTATTGTTTAAATAGTTTGATTTACTTATAAATAATCTACATGCTCACAATTTTATTTTTTATTTTTGATAAATTGGATCATGTCATTTTGTTGCTTTATTTAACTAAAATAATATAATTTATAATATCATTAATTTAATATTTAAGTTCATTCATTAATTAAAATTAAGTAATATAAATCTAATTATACATAATATTTAAAATCAATGCCAAATATTCGATGTAATATGATATTTAATTTATAAAATTAATTTTAATATTAATACAATATTTATATTTATCAAACTATTTTTAATATGTCTTTTCTGCATAATAGTCATAACAATATTGTTTTTAATATTGTTATATAGCGGGTGCATTATTTATTTGAAAAAAAACAAAAATCTGTGGAAAAAAATAAAAAAAAAAAATTGGTGGAAATCAATCAAACACACGGATTTTGAAAATCCGTGTTTCTAATTAAATTTTTAATACAAACACGGATTTTCATAATCCGTGTTTCTTTTTTTTTTATTTATTTTTTTTTTTATGTCACACGAGTGGTCACACGAGTGGTCACACGACCCGTGTGACGTCACACGAGTGATCACACGAGTGGTCACACGACTCGTGTGAAAAAACCGCAAGCAACTTATAATTGTCCATTTGTCCACACGACCCGTGTGGCACCTCACACGACCCGTGTGAGGTCACACGACCCGTGTCACATAGTCACACGACCAGTGTGACTATTCATATTTTTTTTTTTTTTTTTTTTAAATAATGTCATCTCATGACTTTTATATTGGACAAATAGATACATTATCTATAACTCAACAATTGAGTCATGGCAATTAATACTTGCAATAATACATCTTTATGTATTTATATATTAATCAATAATAGATTATAATTAATTAATCATGAAACTAATTTCAATATATACACAACAACTTGTATATATATTAATCAACTATTGATTATAATTAATTAATCATGAAACTAATTTCAATATATACACAACAACTTGTATATATATTAATCAACTTGATCAGAAACATTTTCTGGCCGTATGAACTCGAACAATTCGATTCATTTTTATTAATCCCAAAATTAAAATCAAATACAACTTTTGTATCACACACAAATTTATATGATTAAAAAT